AAATGTTTAGGCATTCTACTCAAATTAAACACTTCAATTGCCTGAAATCCAACTTAACAAATGCTATATTCGAATATGTTTATTACGTCATTTTCCCTCTTGTTTTCCTCCTTCAGTTCATCAACAATGGAGAAAACAACCAACTTCTTAAATTTATCCAAGAGTAAACGACTAAAACATGGTTTATGACCAGCCATCTGTTAGCTCTGGGCTGAGCCACCTCACAATCACACAGTAAACCAGCCCCCCTCTAAATAAGCAACTTGGGTGTGCCTCCTCTTTTTGAGCTAGAGAAGCACCCCAGGGAGGGTCAGAAAGTTCATAAACACCCCTAAATTAACAGAAACCATCTCTAGACAGGAGATAAAGAGTTACAATTAACTTTCTGCCCTTTTTAACAATCAAGAACTCAGAATGTCTTAAACATGTTACTCAAAATAGCCAAAAAGCCAATAATAAAAATAAAAGGGCATCAGAAATACACTTAACCCACATGGTCATTCATTATATCATCATGCCAACATTTAGAGGAACAAATCCAAATGTCCTTATTCAACTTCACAAAAACGAATAACCATAGCATATAACTAGAATATAATCTCCCTATAACAGAATGTAGTCCTCCTACAAACAAACAAAATGGAACATATAGTGTTCCAGGTAAAAAAAAAACATGCAGAGTTATAGTCGGAAAACTCTTAATTATGTCATTAGCGCAAATGTTACATAAAGGCCTAAGAAAACAATACAATAAAATAGGAATTTGTGGCACAGAAACCTGAAAACAATGTGTCACAAACTTTGGCCTGGGACCCCTGTCCCACCATGGAAGTTTACCCCAGACTGCATGAATCACACCTAGGTATTTTAACATGATATTTGCGTACGCTGGCATTCTAACCTGACAGCGAAAAAATAAGACTCTCAGTACAAAATGCAGAGTCAGATTCTACTGAGATATTAACCTGACAGAGCTATGCAGTCTTCTAGTTGTAACCGGTAGTGTATTTCTACTAACACAATATCAGATGACAGGAAGGCAATGAGATATCAACCATCATGGGTCCAGTCACGCTCCGAGCTGCACGGACCTGACAAACACCGTTTATCAGGTGATACTAATGTACGCTAACACCCTACGCTAAACACCTAACTTAAGCGTAAGCATAGTGCCAAGACACCCGTATTCTCCCCAGTGAACCAAAATCTCACAACCATACGTCTGCATAGCAACTCAACGCTCAGCACTAAACATGATCTGAACAAAATTACTTTTACTTTAGATATCATCATACTGATTAATTACAGGATAACATAATGGTTTGATCTCACTCCGTTGATGTTTTCCTGCCCACCTCTTCTTGACTGCCAGTACCCCTGTTCTGTGCCAGCCATGGGTCCTGTGACGCTCCAGTTGGTCTGCTGTTGTGCCATCACCATCTCCCCACACTGTCTCTGTCTCATGGTAATAGTCTCTAGTGTCCGGCACAGTGAAGCACAGCCCAGTGTCCAAAAGCACTACAGTTGAAACAGCTATCAGAGTTGCACTTTGGCTTGAGTTATCACTCCTGGTGTCTGGATTTCATCTCCTGCTTGCTCTCCGTCTCCGTCTCCTTCTTTCCCTCCTGAGTAAATTCTCTGCTGTAGAAGTTCCAGCTGGGCCATCTGAATTTGTACTTCACGCCCCGTCTTTCTTCTTCTCGGGTCTGCTTGTACAGCTGGTCCTCGTAGACTCTTTCAGCGTGCTTAAAATACGGCCAGACGGTTTCCATGCGACCTCATCCAGCCCACAGTGGTTTTGAAAATGTGCTTCCAATGTCTGGTAGAAGGCCTGCAACTAACCTCATTTTACACTGTTGCCCCAGGCCGACTCTTCTACCACCGTCCGGTCTCTCTCCCATCTCGCTGTGACCCCAAAGCTTTTTTCAAGTTCATTCCTGTAGTCCGAAACTTTCTGCCCAGTGTCTGTTTACAATCAGAGATCTTTTCCCAGTTCATCTGCTTAGGAAAAGCAGCGATAAGTCCAGTGCTCAGCTGTTCCACAGCACTCCGGTAATGGAGTGCGCATCCCAAATTGAACATAATGTTTCTCTCGCTAGGCCAGTTTCTTTTCACCTCTCCCCATTTTAGCTGCAAGGCCTGATCAAAGTCAAGCTCTAATCTCCACAGAGGTCGGTCTATATTGATTCACGATTCAGAGAAACACGGACAAATCTTCCACCCTCTGTCGGGTCAGGTAGTGCAGTCACGTCTCTCAGGTCGGCGGGTGACTACGGTCTGTAGACTAGTATAGTCGCTGGGTTATCCGTGGTCTCGTCCACCAGCTGGGCCAGCTACCTCCCGCACTAGGAATTGCCCGGCATCAAAGCTGTGTTGTTCTCTGGGACAGGCCGCAGTGTTACCTGGGTTCTCTCAGCGGCGTGGTGAAACTGGCTGAGGGGCCTAATAAGGATGGTAGAGTCCTTCTCCGTGGAATGCCTCCATCAGGTCCATGCTGTTGGCATAGTTGGTACCGCTGGGGCTGTTGTGGTAACGCTCGCAGTGGGGGTCGGTCAGCAGAGGACAGGCAGCATCAACCTGGCTTGGGACAAGCTAGAACACGATTAACAAGCCCCGTGCTACACCGCTTAGCCCGTATATCAGTCTGCTCTTCCACTTATTATATGCCTTCCAATCAACTTTCTGCTGATTACCCCGTGAAACCTTAATTTTACTCCTGTTCAAAATCCTTCAACTTGTCTTTCAACAACAGTATCTGTCTCTGACTAAAACTGCCATGAGCAGGAAAATCCCAATAACTCCCCACAGGTCTAATTGCTCACGTCCAGTCTCCATTTATCTGTCATTATTTTAATGTCCAACAACGTAACGTTCAGTATCCACCAAGGTTGCACAATACACAAATAATTCATCATGTTGTTACTCGATATTTAAGACGCAAATTCATTCTTATATATAATGAAGTGTCCCATATGTGTTAATGAACTCGCCAGCTCTTTTTTTTTAAGTGAGATATCCTGGAATAACCGAGCTGTCTCACCGCACCCAGATAACCTATATTGAACAGCATTTTGTCTTACTGTATACAGGTATTAACACTTCATACAGGTAAATATTGCTCCAGTCTGGGCGCCCACTCACCCATTTGTTGAGGAGGACTGGAGCTGAAACACAATTCCTGACTGCACGTTTACCAGACCAAAAATCAACAACACCAAGTTAGAAGTAATTGTTTTCCTTTTAAGTTCCAAGTTTGGAAAATCTTGCTACTAATCCATTTAATTAAGTCACCACCAGCCTATTTTGTTACCTCTATCAAAACCGCTTGTCAAACTGTCTTCCGCTGTCCCAATTCAGCATTTTTCGGTCCTTGAGTTTCAAAATTTGTGAGTGTATCACGATTCAAAGACAGTCCTGGCCTATTGCAAAAAAATAATAATTATATCGCTCTTTTAGATATGTAGCCTGGTTTCGAAAAATACGGATTACTGTTAAGAATCTCGGACGATGCCCCCCCAAATGTCGTGGAAATTTGTACTTAATCGCTGAATTTGAAACCTAAAGCAAGACGCACGAGAGTATGAAGTTACAGTTGACAATTTTAAATCTTGTTTAATTGCAAGAAACCATTTCTCAAATACAGGTTTGAAGCTTGCATTGATCAGATCAATCCCTATAGCAAGCTTGAAGAATAGGTTTGAGGAAAGTTTCATCAGACAACAGGACAATAACCTGTGCTGGATCAGACTGACCTGATGAGACTGAAGTCTCACAGCATTTATTGAGAATAAGTAATTACATACTTCCACACAAACTTAAACCATACTTTGATGGAGAACAGGATGAAGCTGTTAGATGATTCCACCAACTAAGTACAGTATAATCTGGAAAACACATAAAGCTGTCATAAAACCAAGGTCAGTGCTCTCAAGAAAAGCGAGTGCCAGACATATGGAAGATAAAAGAAAAGAAGATGAGGCATACAGTCCACCACAGATAAGGTGTTCGGGGACATCTGCTTTCTAGCCTTGGCCCTTCTAGCAACCTGAAGATCACATTCCTTTCTCTGTGCATTTTGGCCTAAACAACATCTATGACTTACATGTAACTAAACTTCTTGAGGATCATGTAACCCATAACACTACCAAAGTAACTTTCTTGTTAAAATGTGGTACACAACGGCCTCGGACGATGCCTTCCTGTGATAAAAATATCACCGTTTAACCTCATATCGAGAAGTCCCCGGTTGCGTTTACTCATCAATTGATACAAAGGCTTCTCAGGCAGACCACTATTGAAAAATGAGCTTTGAAAACATGCCCTGTGAGGACCAAACTCACGACCGCCTGGGATTATGAGAGACTGATGCGCTAGCTACTGCGCTAAGGAGGCCTCTTT